TTTGCAGGAAGTTTCTAGAAAAATTGGAACTTTCTATTCTAGGCATTGCATATGTTAATAAGGATTAAATAGTATCGCATGATCTTAGCCCGGATTTGTCTAACAGTATCAGCATAGTATTTTCTTTCAGAAAAGAGTCAGCGAATCCAAAGGATGAGCGCTACCTTTTACATATATACTTCAGTATAACTGTAAAACTGCAGGTGATATTTCCTCAAATAATATTAAGAAATTCTAGTAATAATATTATTCTATTTATTTATTAAAGTTTTCAATAATGTTAATCGTTGACGTGCGATGAACCAGTGATAATAAAAGCACTCATACTTTTGCTCTATTAACGGATATTTTCTGCGACAAACACAAAAAAATTACTTTCATGCCAACATGTTTTGGTGGTTAATATTTTTGAAAATTTAGAAAAAAAAAGTGCAACAATATTGTCATAATTTTATAACAAAGTTGGAGCCATAACATTTGATACTTTACAATTGTATAGTACTATATGAATTCTATAACCCGATGAAGTTCCAAAAAGTTAGCTATTATTATAAGAAATAACAATATAAATTGCTGTTCAGCTAATACGATTCCTGACATTAGTTTAATGCACATCTCGTATCTTTATAAAAATTTCAATTTTTATCAAATCTCTGTACTCGAAAAAACGGCTCACTTACTATAAAGTAACAATAAAATCTGCACGTCCGATTGGCTTGGATTGGGCTTGAGTTCTCTAGAAAATATCAGAGCCGCTGCAAGTTCGAAAAGTTGAGAGCGTGGATAATTCTAACCTTAAAGTAGAAGGGTGCGAAAGTGGGACAAAAATTTCAAGATGGTACAATAAAGCGATTGGAATCATCCAGAGAAAAAGCTATTATTTTTATCATTAGATACCTGTTCTTCTTGTCCAGTTTTCGAAAGAAAAAAAAAGCTTAATTTGTTATTTCAATGCTAAGATAAACTTTGCTTTATTTTTTATGAGAATAGAACAGAAGTTTTTATTGTTTTAGTTACGTAACCGAAACTCTAATTCGTACACTTCTATTTAAAAACGAATATTGTATTCAAAAGATTGAAGAGTTTACTTTTGTTGCATACCATCAAAAATTTAAAATAAAGACTCGCTCGAAGTTTGTCAATTTTGTCAGTCCATTTAGGTTCAATATTAATATGACCATAAATCTTATTGTCAGGAAATCTTTTTGCTTCTAGTTTAAACTTAAAGTTTTTACGAAATTCATCATAATCCTAGAAACCATGTTAACACAAAATCATCAAAGATAGTACTTGTAACAATAGCTTACAATCTCTGGTTGCACCCTGTGTGACAATATATTTGAATAGGAAAAAAATTGTATTTTTCGTTCCAAACGATTTATCACAATGTATCCTATTTACTCACCGTGATTTTTGTTCTTTCTGATTTACATCCTCGTTTATAGGCATATTGAATTTGTTTCCTTTGGTGAACACTAAAAAAACTCAGTTGAAACGGTAACGATGCCATGAAGGATTTTACAACTTGACAACATAACATATAAACAGTGGTCGTGTCACAGTTTTTTATCTGTTCTTTTTCTCTAATCATTGTTTTTTCATTCCTTTTATATTCATTCGTCAACTGTGCTCAAGAAAGAGCCTCCAGAGAAAAAAATATGTTGGCAAAACTTTCTCGTTAACAACGATGTCACTGATTTGTTCGTTTATATTTATTTTCTTTTTCTATTTCAATTCTCTGCACGCAATCAAATAGAAGCAAACAGTAAACGTGGAACTTGAAAATGACGACATTATTCCGTCACAACAGAGCGTTTCAGGTAGAAAAAAAATCATTTATCTGCTTTAGATTTTTCCTAGACTGAAAGGATAAGGCTCAGAAACCGAAATCCACTTAAGCCTGCATATCTGCCAGTAACGCGGACAAAATTTCCATGGCAACTATGTTACAGATGATCATTTAACAATTATGATTAAATGCCAGAGATGTTATAATGTCCTCAATTAGGATATCCGGATTTCTAGCATCACTAAAAATAACACTATCTCCAATGTGCCAATAAACATACACCTCTCTCATATCCTCTTGACCAAAATAAACGCAACAACTGATTTTTTTTAATTACTAAGGGTGTGCCAAAAGTTCGTATCCCGGCGTTACTTAACCATAGAGTAAGTTTTAAGAAATTTTCTTTCTATACAATCTAATAGAGAAAATAATACCCTATTTTTCTATGCTCTTTGATTATGCTTCAACTAATATCGTGATAATAACTTTTTGATAAGATTTTTTTCGTTATCATTTGTGCTCGTAGTACCAGATCACAACATATAAGGCAGATTAGATTTCAATCCTTCAATCAATTGTATTAACAATTAAAATATATTAAAAGATGCAGCGTGAAAAGCTCTACAATTTACATAAGTTATTTACCTTATAATTGCACTTTTTGTTTTCAAAATAAACAAAGTTTTAAGGGGTCAAATTTTGGGCATTGCAAAAATTGGTCGCAGAGAATTTTTCTTTTTTTGAAAACAATTACAGTAAGTTTTACTGTGAAGATTGTAGACCTTTTCGCGCTGCATCTTGTGGTGTATTTTGTTTTCTTTTGATAAAGCATTTCAGATGATGAAACGATGAAATAACAAAAAATAACTTCGTCGTGTATCAAAAACATTATCAATTTCCCATGGTCGAAATTTGATCGTCCAAAATTTTGTCCATTCTGGAAACGAAAAATGCAACTATAAATAAGTGGTCTTGAGTACGTAAGTAAAGTTAGCACCAGATTCGAGTTTTTGCTGTCCGGATTCGTCCCTGGACTTGAGTTGATTTTGGTTCAACTCGAGTTATATGCAGAATTTTACGACGAATCGGATGGTGTAAAGATCAAGGGGGATCATAGAGCAAAAATCAATACTTGACCCCAAAATACTGGTTTCTTCAAAAATTTCCTGAAAGTTTTTC